GAAAAATATTGGGAGCCCTGGCATTTGTGTATGAATCTGTGTGTCCCTGGGCCCCTTGAATGAATTCTGCCCGGGAGGAGGAGGAGGAGGAGGAGGAGGAGGAGGAGGAGGAGGAGGAGGAGGAGGAGGAGGAGGAGGGGGAGGGGGAGGGGGAGGAGGAGGAATAGGAGGAGGAGGAGGAGGAGGAGGAGGAGGAGGGGGAGGAGGAGCAGCCAGGGGGCCTGGGGCCGTCGCAGCGCCACGCCGCGACAACCCGGGCCCCCTGCGCCTCCGGCTTCCTCGGCGGGGGGGCCCTCGTCCCGGGGGCCGAGGTGGGCCGACGGGCAGCTGCCCTCTGTGGGCCTCCTCGAGGGGGTCGGAGTAGTCGTCGATCCCCCAGACGAGATGCGAGCATCTGAGAAGTGGGGACTCGAATAATACGAATAGTTTCGCGGACCTAGCTCGAGTAGCAAACCGAGTTCAGACCTCTGGATGCAACAGACGAACGCGCCTCATGATTCTAAGAGGGTTTCTGTAAGCATCAGCTCTGTAGCTGTCCTACAGCTCGAGTTAAGTACAAAAAACCGACAACGCCTGGGCGGGGGAAGACAAAAACCCAGAAGATATGGGAAAATGTGGGGAGTCCTCTTATATGTGCGTATTTCTTTGTGCGTCCTGGGGCCCCTTTATATAAGTCGCTACTGAGAGCGAGGCCTCCTCGGTGGGGTCGGAGCGGATGGGGTCGGAGGATCGCGCCGCCTCGCCGATGCATCGGCGGTGCGGCTCGATGTGGAGCCCGATTTGCTCCACGTCGGCATCGCCGAGGCATCGCCGACGTCGACGATGCGTCGCCAGTGCATCCCCGTCGCATCGCCGATGCATCGTTGATGTATCGGCGATGCGGCGCGATCCTCCGACCCCATCTACACTCTAGGCGATGCTTAAGAGAACCCAAGTTTTCGGCCAAAGTCTCGATGATTCTTCATGTTCCCATGCAGATCCCAAGGTTTGAATCGACATTCTGGGCTTGGTTTCAAATTCTGAGGCTATGGATTTCTTAACCCATGATTTCTAAGGCATTTCGCAGGGTACTCCGACCCCATCTGGGAGGCCTCTTAGGGCCGGGCCGAGAGGCCGCTCCCAGGGCAGAGGTCGAGATCTCGGGGGGGCCACGTCGCGGGAGTGGGGTGAAGTTTGGGCCCGTCCCTCTACATGAGGGATATTCAAGCATAGTAAAAAAACAGTCTGGGTATTGTTTGTTGAGTATTTATTATTATTTTTATTATTGTTATTCTTATTGTATTATTATTATTGTTATTATTCTTATTAGTATTATTATTAGTATTAGTATTGTTATCATTATAATTATTATTGTTGTCATTAATTATTATTATGAGTATGCTAGTATTATTATTATTATTACCATCATTAGTATTATTGTTATTAGTACTATTATTAGTTGTATTATTATCATGATTATTATTATTGTTAGTATTCCCCACATCATAAGTGGGGTTCTTGTTTTCTCTGCACACCCTCCGCGCAGGATCTCTCGTCCTCCTCCCTCTCCTCTGCTCCTCTTTGCTTCCTCCTCCGCATCATCATCACCATCACCATCACTCCCCACTCATCATCATCATCACCATCAGCATCACCATCACCATCGCACGATCACTCACCATCATCGGCATCGAACGATCATCATCATCATCATCATCATCACTACTCGCTGACTCACCACTTCGTCCCCATCATCATCACCACCATTTACCATCAGAATCGCACGATCACTCACCATCAGCACTCATCATCACCACCATCATCATCATCACGTCGTCATCATCACCACCACCACCACCACCATCATCATCATCATCATCATCATCATCATCATCATCATCATCATCATCATCATCATCATCATCATATCATCATCAAACACCGTCGTCATCATCCCATCACCATCATCCACCAACTGGGAGCCTCGTCTGTGAGTGAATTGTGAGGAAGTCTCAGGCGGGAGCCCCCTCCCTATGGGGCCCGCAGATCATGTTATTAATCCGAGCGGGTCATCGGATTCCTGAAACTGTCGTCACTTTTGGGCTCTTCAGGTTTGAATTTGGAGGAAGTATCAAGCGGGAGCCTCGTCTGTGAGTGAGTTGCGAGGAAGTCTCAGGCGGGAGCCCCCTCCCTATGGGGCCCGCAGATCATGTTATTAATCCGAGCGGGTCATCGGATTCTTGAAACTGTCGTCACTTTTGGGCTCCTCAGGTTTGAATTTGGAGGAAGTATCAAGCGGCGAGCCTCGTGTGTCATCGAGTGTCGTCAATTTTGAGGAATTTGGAGGAAGTATCTCAGTGCTCAGGCGGGAGCCCCCTCCCATTGGGGCCGCAGATCATGTTATTTACCCGAGCGGGTCATCGGATTCTTGAAACTGTCGTCACTTTTGGGCTCCTCAGGTTTGAATTTGGAGGAAGTATCAAGCGGGAGCCTCGTGTGTGAGTGAATTTTGAGGAAGTCTCAGGCGGGAGCCCCCTCCATTGGGGCCGCAGATCATGTTATTTATCCGAGCGGGTCATCGGATTCTTGAAACTGTCGTCACTTTTGGGCTCCTCAGGTCTGAATTTGGAGGAAGTATCAAGCGGGAGCCTCGTCTGTGAGTGAATTGTGAGGAAGTCTCAGGCGGGAGCCCCCTCTCTATGGGGCACGCAGATCATGTTATTAATCCAAGCGGGTCATCGGATTCCTGTAACTGTCGTCACTTTTGGGCTCCTCAGGTCTGAATGTGAAGGACGTATCAGGCGGGAGCGTCGTTTGTCAGTGAATTGCGAGCAAGTCTCAGGCGGGAGCCCCCTCCCCATGGGGCCCGCAGATCATGTTACTAATCCGAACGGGTCATCGGATTCCTGAAACTGTCGTCATTTTTGGGCTCCTCAGGTCTGAATTTGGAAGAAGTATCAAGCGGAACCCTCGTCTGTGAGTGAATTGTGAGGACGCGTCAGGCGGGAGCCTTCCTATGGGTCCCGCAGCTCACGTGGTTCCTCCGGGTCATCCTCCGGCGCGCGCTTCCTCTGGGTCGTCCTCCGGCGCGTATCGGCTGGGACGCACGTCGTGCGCTTCCTCTGGGTCGTGTTCCGCGCGAGGACGAGGAGGAGGAGGATTGCCAGGAAAAGGAGGAGGGATGATGCAGGACGAGACAGGAAAGCAGGAAGAGGAAGAGGCTGAGGGGAGGAAGGACGAGGAGGAAAAGGAGGAGGAGGAATGCCCGAGGAGGCCCCAGTAGGTCCCGGAAGGCCCAGAAGGCTCCAGGAGGCCCCAAGAGGCCCCAGGAGGCCCCAGGAGGGGGCAGGAGGCCTAAGGAGGAGGCAGGAGGAGGAGGAGGAGGAGGAGGAGGAGGGAGGAGGAGGGGAGGGAGGAGGAGGAGGAGGAGGAGGAGGAGGAGGAGAGGAGGAGGAGGAGGAGGAGGGGGGGGAGGATGGGGGAGGAATATGGGAACGAGGAGGAGGAGGAGGAGGAGGAGGAGGAGGAGGAGGAGGAAACGGATGAGGGAGAGGGAGAGGAGGAGGACAGGGGATGGGGAGGAGGAGGAGGAGGAGGAGGAGGGAGAGGGAGAGCAGGATGAGGAGGCAGGAGGCATAGTAGTTTTGCAATATTGGGGCATTTCTGGGGTATTTTTAGTTTTTCGTCGACAATCCCCCTGTAGGGGGACACGCCCGACTTAACATTAAACACAAACTCGGAGGTCTGCGCGGATTTCTTGGATCCGCGCGGCACCCCCCGCCCTGGCGCGCGGAGCGCGCCAGGGGCGGCATCGGAGTCGCCGCCAGGGGCCCCAGCGCGGATCCGAGGAAGCCTCGCGGACCTCTGAGTTTTTAGGTTTATGTCATCGTTCGTCCCCCTAGAGAGGAGTTTCGCAGGCGAGGCAGAGAGTCTGCCCGAGGGATCGAGAGGTTGACTCCCTCTTACCTCGCGGAGGGCGGCAGCAGAAGGCAGGCGGAGTCCAACGCAGGAGTGGGTTCGTGGGCGGCAGGTCGGCGGAGGTGTCACTTGCGAGTGCCTCTTCAACAGATCCAGCCACGCGCACAGGGTCATACCGCTAAGGGACAAGTCAAGAGGAGGAAAAGGTACCCATTTCGCTACCATTCGGCCGTTCTCCCCGTTTCGGGCCTCCTGGGAGGCCCTCGTCGCCACCGCTGGATTCGCCTCGAAATTTTGGTCATCACGCACCCCGGAAGCGGTCCTGAGAGTAGCGGTATCGGTTGGTTTCCCCAGACGTCGGTAGGCTTCTTAGAAGCGCCCCTGCTCAAAAGGCGCGGGACTCGTCTGCAGATGTAAGGCTGGTGCCTTCAAAGAAGGAGCCTCCTTCTGAGATGAGAAGCCCCCCCCTCCCCCCTGTCCCCTTGGCGCGCGCCGCCAAGGGGTGCCGTTTGTGCTTCGGGGCGCGGGGTTCCAGGAGCGGGCCGCGCAGCTGCCCTGCTGCCCGCCATGCTCGGGGAGCGCAGGCTGGAGGGAGGCGCGCCGAGGGTCGCGGGATGGATCGCCGCGAAGTTGCCCCGGAGTGGGGCGCGCTCTTTGCGCGGCGGGCCCTGCGTCGATCGGCGCGTGCCTCGCGTGGGGGCCCAAAGAATGCACCACCACCACCACCACTTCGATTCCTCCTTTTCTCCTCCTTCCAGCGAGAGGGAGGGGGTGAGGGAGGTGGTGGTGGTGTCTATGTGTGGGCACCCTATCGTGCCCCGCCCCGCCGACGAGCCTCTGAGGCAGGATAGAGAAGCGAAGAGGCCTACCCGATCGTTCCTCGTCGGAGAATCGGGGGCGGAAAAGAGGGGAGTGATGACTAGGGGGGGTGGATATCATGGCGGGGGCCATGATTTTTCCCCAGATTTCATGGCGTTTCTTCTTATTTCATTACGTCCCTGGCCCCCCCGCTGGGCCGCGCACATGCCGCCGGTCATGGTTTGCACCCCCCCCTCTTGGACACCCCCCTCTTGGCCGCTCCCGAGAGAAGTGTTCGGGTAAGAATGCTGTCCACTGTGGCGTCGCGCACTGCTGCCCATCGGGGGTCTCACTGGAACGGGATGACGAGCGCGCGCCTGTGCCCAAGGCGTAGCGGGCCCTGGGAACGACCGGGCCTTTTTTTGTTTACCGGTTCCGTTCTGCAGTTTTTGTTTTGCCAGTTATGACGCCGTTTTTGTTACCGGTTCCGTCGCCGTTTCTGTGACGGGTTCCCGCGCCGGTTCCATTCCTGGAGCCGTTTTTGTTGTCGTTTCCGGTCGCGGTCGCCGTTTTTTTTGCCGTTTCCATTTTCAAGGGATACCTTTTCGGAAACGGTGAAAAAACGGCCCTGCCGTTTCCGGGGCCCACTAAGGCCCAGGGCATTCCGCAGGCACGAGGTAATCGCACCTGGGCCCAGGTCCAGCAAGACCTTGGCGCACGCGAGATGTCTTGATTGGTAGCTGGCTGCGTCTTCGCATGCCACCACCTCGTGCGAGCGGACGGCGCAGATTTGACCATGACGATGGGCAGCTCGGTTTCATGAAGCGCTTGCTGTGGCTCGCAGTGTCCACTTGCACGTGATCGCAATTGTATTAAGACTGCGGTACGAAATCATTGCTTTCTGCTCGGCGGTTCCTGTGCATAAGACGTTCCTGCGTCTGTTGACCCGACGCCCTCCACATTGTGTGTTTCAATCTTGCCCATCCGGATCCTTTCGCTTTGGTTGCGTCACCGACGGAGGCCAACGGCTCCATCACCGAGGTTTGGGCCAACGGTTCCAACAGCACGTGCTTCTACCCGCAGAGGGTGGTCTCGCGGGAGTACGACTCGCGGTGGTGGAAGACGCAGTCGACAAACGATTCCAGGTGGTTGCACACGAGGTTGCCAACTTCCCCGCAGGATCAGATTTCGTCCCGTGCTCTTCCTGGGGGCTCGCATCGACGACAGCATCGCAGATCGGAGCTCTTCCAGTATCCAGGGGACCGCGCGCGAAGACTCATGGATTGTCTTCACTTGCCTGGGTGTGGCAAGAATTCTTCGCATGGACTTCGCCCAAGGGCCTAAGGGATTCTTATCCATTCTGTGCAAGAGGACTGTTGGCGATTGGTGGCAGCCCCCAGAGTCCCGCGGTGCTCCCCATGTTCCCCTGGGGATTCCCCAGGGATCCTTGGAGTCTCCCCAGTCTTATTTCTACTGTTCTCCACCATCGTGTGGTGTTGGCAGGGCGCGTCCAGACCGGCCAACTACCTCCCGGGGTCCCCAGGGCCCGCCCCACCCCTCCCGCGGAGGGGGGGGAGGGCGGGAAGGGCGGCGGGAGGGGGCGAAGGGGAGCGGGAAGGGGGGCAAGCCAGGTTCGTTAGGTTCACATCTGACGTCCTACCCTTCTCTCCCATCCCTTACCATGGCGTAGATCTCCTACATAATCTCACTGTCGGATTTCGAGCAGGGCAATGATCGACTACACGTAAGAGTGATCCTTCGCCAGAGTGACCCTTGGTGCGGGCCCATTGGGGTCCCCGACCGCCGAACGCGAGGCGGCAGTGGCGTCTTTCGCGATTATGTTTGGCCCCCCTGCGGCTCCCAAAAAGCCGCGCACCAGAGGTCACTCTTACCCAGGGCCCAGGGTCACTCTTACGTATAGCCGAAATTATCCCAAGAGGGTACGCGATGGATGTAAAAACATGACGTAGGAGAGCACGGCGGAGCATAGCAAATTATAACATGGTTTGGCATCGCGTACTGAAGCATTGCATCACAACTAATAGCAGCGCAAGGCATGGTATCGCACAGCGGTGCACAACACAGCATCGCATTGCATGCCGTGACATGGCACCGGATGATTTGGAGGTTAAGTGGCCCGTCTACGAGAGGACTGTCCAGAATGCCGGCTCCATGTCATCCACAACTGTGCCTGCCCGATGTGGGCGCTTTTGACTGCCAAGTGCCGTCTGGAGGCGCGGGAAAGAGACCAGCGCTGCAGCGGGCGCACGATTTTGAATGACCGAAGCGCGGAAATGATATCGGCGCTGCAGCAGGAGCAACATTTTGGAATAACCAGAAACGACCCGATTCAATAAACACAAGCCCATCTGAAATCCGGAAATGAAGCCCATGCTGCCGATCCGAAAATGAAGCCACCGCTACAGCGGGAGCACCACTTTGAAAGACCGGAAATATTCGGATTGGCAAAAACCATAACAAGAGCCAATTATTGTAATCTTTTGATTTGGAAAAACCTCCACACGCCGAAGGGGCGGGAGATCCTCCAGACAATTCCCAGAGAGGAGATTGCTTCATTACCGAGGGAGGGCCACTTGCTGGGCGGCACCTGGGGGCTGCCCGGTCGTCGTCCTCCCCAGACCCCCGACGGGAAGTTTTTTCACAACGTCGACCCCCAGAGGTCTGGACCCCTTCCCTGGGACCGTTTTTTTTATCCTGGGCCGTTTTTGGACGGCCCTTAGGCCCATGAAGGGCCCCAGGAGGCCCAAAATAGCAACACGACTCCCGCCGTATTTTTTTCACAACGCGACGGGGGTCAGGGTCCTCAGCTCCGACCACCGCGTCGGAGCTCACGGCCACCGACGAACCGAAGCCGTCGTCGACAGCCCGTCTTCCGCCCCGAGGTTCAGCGGCTGGTCGCAGGTGGCCCCGGTGGCCACCGCGACGAGGGCGAGGACGAGGACGAGTACGAGGACCACGACGACGAGGGCTTCCGAGAGGCTTCTAAACGTTTCTGAGAGGCTTATCAGGGATGCCGCAAGGCCACTGAGAATTTCGGAGAAGCCTCTGCGAGCCTCCGAGAGGCCCTGAGAATTTTGAAGAAGGTTTCGCAGAGCTCCCGGAAGGCGGTTGAGACACCCCGAGAAGCCCCTGAGAGCTTCCCAGATGCTTTTGAAAATTACCGAGAGGCCCTGGGAGCGCTCGAGAGGGCCTGAGAGCTCCCGAAGGGGCTTCTGTGAGCTTCCGAAGAGGTACCTGACACGTCCCGAAAGATCTCCGAGAGATCGCTGAGAGTTCCCGAGAGGGAGCGTCCGAGAGACCTCTGAGATGTCCCGATGCTAGTTCCCGAGAGGCTCCTGAGAGCCCCCGAGAGGCTTCTGATAACGTCCGACCTGGCTCTCGCCTTAGCGCGGCGCACATTCTTTGTAACCATTTTCAAAGGCTTCACGGATTGAGGGCGAGTGTTTTTTTGTTGCACGTGGCTCTATCCTTCGCGCGACGCACATTCGTTGTAAACGTGTGCAAGAGTTTCACGGATTGAGGGCGAGTGGTTTTCAAAATGTGGTTCTCGCCCCAGCGTTGCGCTCCTTCGTTTTAACAGTTTGCACGGGCGGTCCCTGTTCAAATTGTGGCTCTCGCCTTCGCGCCGCGCACATTCGTCTACTCACTTTTCAATTCTTTCACGGATTACCATCATCAACGTACCCGACATGGTGTTCTGGAGGGAGTCCGGATTTTGTGGATGCAACTGTTACGTTGGTTCTCTGTGCTGTGAAGTCCTAGTCATGGCGTTCTGACAAGATTCAGGATCGTCAAGACGCAATAGTCAGATTGATCCATGGCGTTGACATCCCAATAGCAGTGTTTTGGCATGGTTCAGGGTCTTCAAACGGGTGTCTAAAATCGAGGCAGTTCCATCAATAAAAATGAACCGTTGTAGCGGCCTTTGAACAGTGAGCTTGGAGGGAGGGTATATTCCAACATGGTTGATGACTCTTGGGTTTACACTGGTCCTCCTCCTCCTCCTACTCCTCCTCTTCCCCCTCCCCCTCCCCCTCCCCCTCCCCCACCCCCCCCCGACGTGCGGGACCAGGAGGAAGAGGAGGAGGGGGAGGAGGAAGGGGAGGAGGAGGAGGAGGAGGAGGAGAGAGGAGGATCAGGAGGAGGAGAGGAGGATGAGGAGCAGGAGGAGGAAGAGAGGAGGAGAGGAGGAGAGGAGAGGAGGAGGAGGAGGAGGAGTAGGAGGAGGGGGGGGAGGGCGAGTGCGCGCAGGGAGCACGAGGAAGGCGGGATATGGAGAGCGGAGAATGCATCGGGTCCGCGCAGACAGGGAGGGGGGATCGCGCCGCATGGCTGATGCATCGTCGATGTGGAGGCCGATGTGGTGCCCGAGTCTTTCCACGCCGACGGCGCCGCTGCATCCCCGGCGTGGCCGATGCATCGGCGATGCGGCGCGACCCTCCGACCGCATCAGCTCGGACCCAAATTGGGATGCCTCCAAAGAAGGGGAAGAGGCATGGGGTTGGGGGGATTGGGAGGAGAAGGGTGAAGAAGACGGATCATGACGACGGTCACGAGGATGAGGGGCCGAGGGGCTCGCAGCTTTGCCAGGACCTTTATTGGAGAACAGACGGCGTCCAGCAGTCGACATCGAGCCAGCGTACGTACTCGGTGGCGCTGTCCCGCAGGCGCGCAGACGGATCATCCAACGACATCGGGCGCCTGGCTCCCCTGATCCCTCATCCTCGCCCCCCTCTCCTTGGAAGCCGGGTTGGGCAGCCCTCCTCATAGTCACGCTGGCACCCTGCTCGGCCAAATGCGAGTCATGTCTGCAGAAGTGTGGTGTTTGGGGGGCGGCCGGATGCACTGGCTGTCCATACAGGCCGGTCCGCCTATGCCCGTGCGCGGCAGGTCGGTGTGATTTTACCTCTCCGCGTCCCCATCGGCCAGTCTCCGCAGCAGCATCTTCGTGTTGCCCTCTCCGCTCGAGCGGTGAGCGCAGGAGCACTGACCCCCAAGCGGCAGGACGTGTGTCTGCCCCCTTCTCTTGTGCGCTTGCGCCCTCGAGCGACAACTGCCCCACTGTGAGCGAAGCGCGACTGGTTCTCGGTGACATTCGGTGGGTCGCGAGGCAGGGATCGTGTTCTCGCGTCGCGCAGGAGCATCCACCGAGCCCCTGCGCTCGAACGTGCGATGATCTTTGATCTGTGCCACACCCCAGGAGCCACGAAGCACCGCTTGCCCTCGGGAGAGAGTTCGGTCCCTATTCGCTCGACGTCGTTTCGCTCTTGCAGCGCCGGCTGACACTATCGCACCGAAGCACCGACTGCCTCCCCTCTCCTCCTCCTCCTGCTGCTCTTCCTCCTTCTCCTCCTCCTCCTCCTCCTCCTCCTCCTCCTCCTCCTCCCTGCTCCTCCTCTCCTCCTCCTCCTCCTCCTCCTCCTCCTCCTCCTCCTTCTCCTCCTCCTCCTCCTCCTCCTCCTCCTCCTCCTCCTCCTCCTCCGCCTCCTCCTCCTCCTACTCCTCCCCCTCCTCCTCCTCCTCCTCCTCCTCCTCCTCCTCCTCCTCCTCCTCCTCCTCCTCCCCTCCTCCTCCTCCCTCCTCCTCTCCTCCCTCCCCTCCTCCTCCCTCCTCCCTCCTCCCTCCTCCTCCTCCCCTCTCCTCCTCCTCCTCCTCCTCCTCCTCCTCCTCCTCCTTCTCCGTTCGCGGCCGCCCACCCCGCGGAGTGGAGCGACACGCTATCCGCTAAGAAGGCATCGCGTCTGGCAGGGGCCGCCGACGCGACATGAAGAACAAAAGCTCCCGACCGCAGCCGTGTGTGTTGAAGCCTTAACTCGTGCGCACACCAAGCTCTCATTGCACATCGCCGACTCCCCCGCGATCCGTCCGTCCTTTTGTGACCTGCGCGCCAGGGGCTGGGGCGAGCTCGTGGCCGAGGTGGACGCCAGCGGCCTCAGCGCAGGCGCGGCTGCCACCCATCCCCCGGCCTGCCATTCTCCCCTCCTCTCCCCCTCCCCCTTCCGCGGGGGAAAAGATGGCGTCCTCTCGATCCCTTGAGCAGACCTCCTCCTCCCACTCCCTCCGCCGCTCTCCATCTCCTCCTTCCTTCTCCCTCCTCCCCCTCCCTCCTCCTCCTCCTCCTCCTCCGCCTCCTCCTCTTCCAGTCCCCTCCTCCCTCCTTCTCCTCCTCCTCCTCCTCCTCCTCCTCCTTTTCCTCCTCCTCCTCCTCCTCCTTCTCTTCTCCTCCGCCTCCTCCTCCTCCTCCTCTTTCTCCTCCTCCTCCTCCTCCTCTTCCTCCTTCTTCTTCTCCTCCTCATCCGCCTCCTCCTCCTCCTCGTCCGTTGTTCCTCTCTCCTCCTCACCGCCCCTTCCCGTTGGGTTGGGGAATGGACGGTGAGGAACGGAATCAAGCAATAGCGAGAAGGTGCCGGTTGGGGGCAAGGAAGCAATTGATGGGGAGCCGCTTCCATCGTTGACCAAAGAGCGCCATAGCCGTGTTGGCCTAATCGATTTCCTGGCCCCGCACCCGTTACGCTGGCGCGACCCGCAGTTGCCAGACCGCAATGCAGCGCCTCATCCTCCGCTCCGTCCTAGCCGCTGCGCTTGCCTGCGGCGCGCTCGCCGATGCCCCCCAGAAGCTTCGCCGGGCCATCATGCTAGAGGAGGTGGCGATCAAGAGGATCTTAGACAATGTGGACTCGACGGGCGTGCGATGGGCACCCCCTGCCCTGTTGGAGGACGACGCCCCCGCGGCCGCGGAGGCGGTGGACCCCCTGGAGGAGCGCATCGCTGGCAAGGTGGGCCAAGACATGGGAGACATGTTCCGCGGCCTGAGGGCGAAGAGGGCCCAAATCGATCGGGAGCTGCTGTCGCTGCGCGCAGAGAGGACGAAGGCCCAGGATCCCAGGGAGCGGGAGCGTCTGCAGGTGCAGATCAGCCGCATCGCCGGGTTCGAGGGCGAGGTCGACCAGCACTTCCGTGCGGTCCAGAGCCTCATGAACTTCCGCTGATCTGAGGCACTCCTACAGTCGGGGCCCTGAAGAAGGAACCCTTCTCGTTGGGGAGGGGCTCCGCGTTCCTTAATTGGTTTACAGCTTGCCTCAGGGTTTCCTTATGTTTTCGATGGGGAGTCGAAGTTCAACTTTTGGAAAAAGGGGCCTCGTTCCTTATGTAGGGTTCCTTAGGTCAAAGCCCCGACTGTAGCGCTCCCGAGCTCCGAGCGCACCCGGCAGACACACGATCGCAAGCGGAAAGAAAAAATGATGCCAGGGCGTGGACCCAAGATAGCGGCTGTCTGCAACACTCAGGAGGGGAAAAAACACGCAGGCACAATTAATCATCGATCCCACGGACATATTGGAAAATCTGGGAAGTGGGGGGGGAAGACAACAACCCTGAAAATATGTGAAAATATGGGGAATATCTTGATTCGTGTGTATTTATGTGTGTGTTCTGGGGCTCCTTTAAACACATGCGGTGCAATATGTGGGTTGCATTCTGCGCATGCAGTACTATCGTATGCGGACCTGCGTGGGGCAAGGTGCGTCACGGTCGGCAGCCAGAAAGTTCCGTTCCTGGGCCTCGCGGGGGGGCCTACAGTAGACACCATAAAGTATCAAATCGGCCATCTAGCAGCTGCCCCACGGAAATGTCTGCTTCCCCGATGGCCCTTGAGGGCCCACAGAAACTCTGGGGTACCTTTGGACCCTCACAGATCTTGGCGGCGAGCGAGTGAGGAAAGTGAGGAGGGGCGGGCCTTCTCAGAAGGCTCGGAAGTCCCCAGGCCGTCCGAGAAGTTGTCTAAGCCTTGCTCGAAGACAGACAGACCTCTCAGAAGGCGCGAGGGCTTCTGAGAAATCCCACCACCTTCTGAGAAGACCTCCTCCTTCTCACTTCCCGCCTTCGTCCGCCGCCGAGGAAAGACGGCGTTGTCGGCGTCGTCGTCGGCGTCAGTGCCGTCGTCGTCGTCGAAGTCGTCGTCGTCGTTGGCGCCGTCGCCGGCGTCGACGACGACGGCGACGGTGACGACGAACCCCAAGATCTCCTTTTGCGGCAGGATGTCTTGTCCGGTGTACAGTGCCGTTTTTAATACATGCTCAGCGTGCGGATCATGTAGTGCAAATGCAGGGTTTAGTATGAAAACAACGATGGGTTCGTGTATCAATGTATTCATAAATTAATCATGCATTGAACATCCTATATTCTTTTAAAATCAGACGTCTTACAAACTGCCCTCTATCCACTGCACACGGGGGTCGCGCGGCCACCCGAGAGAGAGAGACAGAGAGAGCTGCGGCACCATCCGGGTCAGGGGGCAGGAGGGACTTGGGTCAGGAGGGAAAAAAAAGCACACAGACACAATTCATCGCCGATTCCCCAGAACATACGGGAAACTATGGGAAGTGGGGAGGAAGACCAAAACCCAGAACATATGGGGAAATCAGGGGGATCTTTTTATTTGTGTACAGTGGGGGCCCATGCCAAGAAACACCCTGCTTGCCTCCAGGGTGCCCTGGGTGTCTTGGGTCTCGATGGTTCTGCGATGGAGAGCGCGGCGTTCCCACGCCAGAAAAATCGATGGACGTCCTGGGGCCTCAGTGTTGAGCTTCTTGTGGAAGGCTTCTTGTGGACGGGCCTCCACTGTATTCATTCGTGTGCCCCGGGGGCCCTTCATCTGGGGAGCGGCAGGAGACCGGAGGAGGCCGGGCGGCAGCCGCCGGAGAGGGCGGGCAGCCCCTGGGCGCGCGCGCCGTGCTCCCCACGCTCTGCGAAGCGCGGCGCGCGAGGGCAGCCAGGCGGGCTGCTTCGCGGCGCGCCGTGGCCCGGTCTAAAACAGGGCTAGGATCGGGATAAATCGCTCCAGAGCGTTCCGGAGCGCTCTCAGAGCGTTCCGGAACGCTCTGGAGCGGCCGCGGCGCCCTAGACATCCTCCAAGCCCGCCGACTCTCGGAGATTTCGAGTTCTCCCGATCCGATTTTGTCCCGATCTTCGCGTCGTCTTATGGTCTCGCTCCGGCGCGCGCGCGCGCGTCGTTGCTGTTGGGCGCTCTGCGGAGCAGGGCGCGCGGGGGAGCGGGGGGAGGACAGAGGAGAGAGAGCGAGAGAGGCCCTCCACCCCGAGGTCCCCGCCAGGGCTATGTCGGGCGTGTCCCCCTAAAACTAACAGATACCCCAAGCGTACCCCAGAAAGGTCCAACAAATATTCAAAAAATAGTCCCCAGACTATTTTTTAACATAATTTTTAGACTATGTTTGGGGTATTTTTTAGTTTTCGTCGAAAATCCCCCTGTGGGGGGACACGCCCGGCTTAACGCTAGGGAGCCCTCGGCCTCCAAGGGATCGGATGCGGCCGCCGGGACAGGATGGGGTGGGAATGTAGCCAAGTTACCCCCTCCCCGCCCGCAAGCCGTCTCGCTCACTCCCACCCGCCCTCCCAACACATACGTAGCACCCGAGTCCGGCCCGAGCCTCAGCATATTCAGCAGTCGTCTTGGGACGGGCAGCTATTGGGGGTCAATCCGCCGCCGCCGCCGCCCGCCAGTATAGCAGGCCGAGCGTCCACCAGCGGATGCGACCATCGAGTCCAGTTCTGTTTGGGATGAAGGAGGCCCCTTCAGTGCAATTGTTGCTGGCAGCGACCTTACTAACAAGCGAACTAGGAGAAGAAGGAGAACGGGTGGGGATTCGTGCGAGAGCAAGGTTTTGAGGATGGGGTGAAGGAGAATGGGAACGGGAGGGGCACAGCGACGATGAGGAGCAAGATTAGGAGCAAGGGACGGATGCGAGGGAGCATGTCTAGAAGCAGGAGGACGGGGAGCAAGAGCACACTGTGGGGGAGGTTGAGGAGAAGCAGAAGGATACCGACCGCGAAGATCAAGAACAGGAGGCGGACGGGGAGGATCGGAAAGGCGAGGGCGTAGACCTGCGAAGAGGACAAGGACGAGCACCGGCAGCAGCCTGAGGAGGCGGATGGGGAGCCCCAGCCCAGGAGCGCAATTCCTGGTGTTCACCCTTTCTACCCTCCCCCCCTCGATTCCCTGCCCCCCCCAGTGCATGCGCCCTCTCCTGACCTACATCGCCTCCTCATCAGCTGCCCCTTCGGCGGACGTAGTCCCTGGCGCTGACACATGGGATGCTCTCCCTGCGCGAAGCGAACAAACCTCGACCGTCCCCATCCATGTTTGTCCAGCTGATCGCTCCCTCCCCCCCCCCACACACACAACCCTCCACCCCCTCTCCCTCGCTCGCTCCCCTCCTCCACTTCCCCTTCTTCCCCACAGCATCTGGCGTTGTAATCGTTCGCGAGGCGGGGCCCTCAGAGATCGGGATGCCACCACCCCATCCTCGGAGCTGCCTTGTCGCCTCGGATGTCTGTGTTGGACAGCTCAGGCCGCAGGCGGCCCCTGAGCACCGACATCGCGAGCTCGCGCCCGCAGGTTTTTTTTTTTCCACTGGTGCCTGCAGGTCTGCCGCTGTCTTTCTCCCCCTCACCAGACGAGTCCCGGCTCTCGCCCCTGCCCCGAGATTTCAGAAGCATCGTGGACATCCACGCCAACTGCGCTCAGACCGAGGTCTGTATCCAAACTCGACTCTGATCTCTTTTTCGGAGGAGGTGTGTGGGTCGAGATTCAAGCGGTTTCCATCCCCGCCCCCCCTAAATGAGTTGTTTCTCTTCAGGGGACGGCGCACAGCAGGCTGCGTCGAGTCGAGCGCCGCTCCTGGCGGTTCTCGTGCCTGCAAGCTACCGCTGGTGTGCACCCGTGCATCGATGCCTCATCCTACCGTGCACCCGCTAGCTACGATGATTGGGATTTGCGTCTTGCTTCCTGCCTGCTTCGCAGTACAGTCAAACGGCGTTAAGGATTGGTCTGTCCTTATCGCTAGCGCACTTTGCATCCTCTGGTTACGGTCATCCTTGGCAAGTTTGGGCGCCCGCACCCTTTGCAGTCGTTCCGTCCCAATGGTCGTGCATTTTTCGAATCCACCATGATTCGAATTGTACCTGCCCCGTGACGAGTGTCGGGGATCTGCTGACCCAGGTCAATCAAGACCCCGATCAGTCAGGCCTTGCAGAACCTGTAAGATCCTGCAAGATCCTGCACCCAAACCCGGGTCAATGCGAAGGATCCTGCAAGTTCCTGCAGGATTTTGCACCCAAGCCCGGGTCAATGCGACCCTGGCCCTGCAGGATCCTGCAAGATCGGGCGCTCTGGCGCTCCCCAACTCCTCCTTTCTCCTTTGTAGAATCCTCCCCAATTCCCAAATCCTCCCCAACCCCTCTCACTTTCTTTTGTAGAATCCTCGCCCATTCCCAGCCGCACCCCCACGCACGCCCATTACATTACAAGAAACATTGTTCTGGGAATTAATACTGTAATTATTCAACGCCTCAATAGTAGACCCCCGTCTCAAGGCTCCCGAGAGTGGGCTGGCCATCTTGCAAATCACGCTTTCACGGCAGCGGGTGACACCCACGCTCGGTCAGGCGAAGGGGCTGGCGCGAGCCAGCCCCTGCACGTGCTAGAGGCGCCCGCGCTTAGTGTCTGCCCATGCCCCCAATCGATGAAGATGATATCGACGACGCCGACGACGATGATGCTCTTGCTGATGATGGCGACGATGATGATGCTGATGATGATGTTGATGATGATGACGATGATGACCAGGATGATGATGATGATGATGATGATGATGATGCTGATGCTGATGCTGATGCTGATGATGATGATGATGATGATGATGATGATGATGATGATGATGATGATGATGATGATGCTGATGATGATGATGATGATGATGATGGTGGTGATGATGCTGATGCTGATGATGATGCTGATGATGATGATGTTGATGATTACGCTGACGATGATGATGATGTTGATGCTGATGGTGATGAAGATATTATGATGGTGATGTTTATGATGATGGTGATGATCATGATAGTGGTGGTGGTGGTGATGGTGATGATGTTGGTGGTGGTGGTGCTGATGCTGATGCTGATGCTGATGATGATGACGATGATGATGATGATGATGCTGATGATGATGATGATGATAATGATAATGATGATGATGATGATGCGGAGGATGATGGTGGTGATGGTGACGACGTAGATGATGATGGTGGCAATGTGGATGTTGATATTGAGGTTGCTGCTGCTACTGATGATGATGCTGATGTTGATGGTGATGATCATGCTGATAATGGTGATGATGACGACGTTGGGAATTATGTTGATGATGATACCGATGGTGACGATGGTGACATCCATGGTGCTGCTGATGGTGATGGCGAGGTTGACGGTGGTGACGATGATGCCGATGAGAAAACGATGGTGACGATGGCAGGGGATGACGGTGACGATGATGCTGACCATCATCGGCACCATCGGCACCATCGGCGCCTCCCGCGGTCGAGCATCCCCCCCCCGAGGCGCGACATACTCCGCCTGCCTGGACCTCGACGGCAGCGGACGCCCCAGCCGGCCCCGCCCGGCCCCGGCGCGCTCGGGGCGGGCCCTCCGCGCGCACCCCCCGCGCCGCGACGGAGCGGCAGCGGAGCGCCCCGCCGGTGGCCGGGCAGCTCCCGGGGGTTCCCTGGCGGGCGGGGGCCCTGCGATGCTCGGGCGGCTTCGGAGCGTTCCTTGGCATCGCTGGGGCGTGTGCCATGTGTGCTCGGCGAGGCCCATCGTCGGGGGCGAGCCAAAGGGGGGGGAAGTGAGGGGACGAGGGCCCTCTCAGAAGGCTCGGAAGTCCGCTGTTCTTCTGAGAAGTTTCCTGAGCCATCTTCGAAGACACAGAATACCGTAGCACCTGGGCGCGGGGTGGGTCGCGGGTGGGTCGCGGGTGGGTCGCAGGGTGGGTCGTGGATGGGTCGCGGGTGGGTCGCGCGGGTGGGTCGCGGGGTGGGTCTCGGGTTGATCGCGGGGTGGGTCGCGGGTGGGTCGCGGGTGGGTCGCGGGCGGGTCGCGGACCGGGGGGTGGGGACGACGACGCAACAAAACAACAACAAGAATCCTCGCCGTGGATCCCCACATCAGCCACGCACCCAGGGACAGTGAATGACCATTCGGGCCCCCTCACCCTGGCTTCTCAGAGGGCGAGAGGGTTCTAAGAAATCCCGCCGCTTTCTGAGAAGGCCTTCTCCTGCTCATTTTCCCCTCTCGCTCGCCGCCGACATCGAGGAGCATCTGGGATCATCTTGCGACAAAGTGAGCGCGCGAAACCAATAAATGCACACGGAATGGACGTCCGAGCGATGGCAATATTCGTTTTGCTTTCTGGGTCGTAGCGCGCGTTACACCCCCCCTCCTCCCACCCCCCGCTCCCCCTCCCCGCCAGAAGGTAACGCTCCTCCTTCCCCAGCGCGTCATCAGCTCGGCCGCAGTGCGTCCGGCTCAACAGCTTGTGGTGCCGGAACCACACGGCGGGGGGGCGTTACGTTATGCCCCCCCCCCGCCCACTCTCCCCCCTTAACTAACAACGAACGCCCGCTATTGCCGCGAGTCAGAGATGCTCTATGAGAGCCTTGTGTCTTCTCGCACTTCCCTTTCTAGGGTGCACTAACGTCGGCTAGCTTCTGGTATTTGGTAAGATGGTGCCAACTTAGCGTCGTTCGCAAAAGTCAGAAGGATGGTCTGGGAGGCTTCCATGATCAGGTTGGGCGATCTCGGAGGTTCTTCGGCGGTGCTTGGCGGGCGTCTGTGCATGGGTAATAAGTTCGAAACCTGCGGCGCAAGATACCCTCCCAGACCCCCAAATTTTATGGATGGTGCGGTGATGGAGGGGTCTCGGTTGGACAGAAGTATTTGGACCCCACAACCCACCCCCCTTAGCAACACCCAGGGCTGGGGGGGGGGGATGAGCATCCACCTCAAGTGTGCGAGGGCTCGAACATGTGATACATGTACTATCCCGCACGTTCTGTGCTGTGTGGTCGGAGGCGTTCGGATGCTTTCGCACACGCTCGGATGGCTCTGGCGCCAACCCGAAGCAGCAGACACGCGCTTCCCGCAAGGAGGAATAGTAGGCCGCGCGTCTCGACTGAGGGGCCGGGCCCACCATGCGCCGTGATTGTGTGTATGCGCGCTTGCGGACCTGCCAGGAGAATGGAATGCCCCAGGAGGGAAGGGAGGAGGAGGAGGAGGAGGAGGAGGAGAAGGAGAAGTTGACGAGGAGATGGCGATGAGGAGGAGCATCATCAGGAGGAGGTGGAGGAGGGGGAGGGAAAGAAGGAGGCCGCAGGGGAGAAGCAGGAGGAAGGGGGAGAAGGAGGAGGAGAGAGGAGTCGGGGAAGCGGGAGGAGGGGGAGGTGCATCGAGCATCGAGCTACTCGACAGAAACGCTAAAACGACAATCTGCTCCAGCCACCCTAGTGGGAGAGCCTTCGCGAACGCCACCACGAAGAGTCTGCACACCACGCAGCGGAGCTCGAGTGCCAGATGGAACACGCCCCCCGAGGCCGTGCCGGCTCCTCCTCCTCGTTCTCCTCCTCCTCCTCCTCCTCCTCCTCCTCCTCCTCCTCCTCCTCCTCCTCCCTCCTCCTCCTCCTCCTCCTCCTCCTCCTCCTCCTCCTCCTCCTCTCCATCCTCCTCCTCCTCCTCCTCCTCCTCCTCCTCCTCCTCCTCCTCCTCCTCCTCCTCCTCCTCCGTCCTGACGCCGCCCCGGCCTCGGAAGCCAGCAAAAGCCGAGGGCGCCGAAGGCTCGCGCAGGACGCTCCCGACCACGCCGCTCCCACGGCAGGCCGCACTCTTTCCCGCGCCTCCGCGAGCAGCCCCGCCGAGGCACGACGAGCGCAGGCACCGCCGCGGCCGCTCCCCCCGAGGAGGAGGAGGAGGAGGAGGAGGAGGAGGAGGAGGAGGAGGAGGAGGAGGAGGAGGAGCCCCCCTGTGCTGGGCACCGGCCCGGCAGCCTTGAGAATGTACAGAACGACGCGAAGATCGGGACAACATCGGATCGGGATAACTCGAAATCTCCGAGGATCGGCGGGTTTGGAGGATGTATTGGGCGCCGCGGCCGCTCCAGAGCGTTCCGGAACGCTCTGAGAGCGCTCCGGAACGCTCTGGAGCGATTTATCCCGATCCTAGCCCTGTTTTAATGTACACTTCCGGCGCGTCGCCTCCAACCGGCAAGAAGGGGCGGGCCGCCTTAGGCACGAGGCGGGCGAAGAGCTAGGGCCCCTCTGGCGGGCAGAGAGCCTGCGTGTCGCAGGCTGTGCGAGCGCAGGTCGTGCTGGTGTGCGTTGGCAGTTCCCTGCGCGCTGCTCTTGTCATCGGCACCGAGCGGAATTAGGGGGACAGGAAGTCACAGAAACATGCAAACTCGGAGGTCCGCGCGGATTTCTCGGATCGGCGCTGGAACCCCCTCCCTGGCGCGCGGAGCGCGCCAGGGGCGGCGCCGGAGGCGCCGCCGGGGGGCCCCAGCGCCGATCCGAGAAATTCGCGCGGACCTTCGAGTTGTGCTGTTTATGTCACTTTTTGTTCCCCTAGGAATATAAGCACACCTGCATCCTTCCTGTGTCCTCTCGGCCTCTTGGCCTCCCCGACGAGCGAGCTGCAGGGGCGGCGCCACGGCTGCCTCCTTCCCTCCCCGCTGTTGCGGCGGCGCTGCTGCTCTCTCGCTCGCCCTCCCAGCCGGCGGCCAGGCGCCGGCTCGAATTATTGGCGCTGCCTCGATGCACTTTTTGCGTGGCACCCGTTCGTTTCGCCCGAGCAGGGAACTCGTTCCTGTGAACCACGCGCTTCCACCCTGTCAGTCTGACAGCGGGATGTACAAACGGAGGCAGTCTCCAGCGATAGCCCAATGTTGACAAAGGATGCCCCTTCTTGTTTAGAACTCCAGTGCAGCTTCAGAGTTCTGGCCTTGAGGTCGCAGAAGTCTCAAGCGAGAGCCCCATCCTGAATAGGAGCGGCCCTCCATCTTCCCAGCTGTCGTACAGTTTGGAATGTCCAGCCGCATCATCCGAGGAGCGTTCCAGCGACAATTGCATCTTGATATTTAGCTGTCATGTATTCCTGCAGCTGTTGAAAATCGCACAGCGGATGTGCGTTGAGCTGGTGCGAGAGCTCCACTCTGTAAAAGGACCTGCCATCTGCGCCTGTAGTCGTCAAGCTTGCGACATGCGTGCGAGAGGCCCTGGGGCACGGGAGCCTTTCTCAACACCGCCAGCCGTCCAGCCTTGTACAGTGGGACCGAGGTATAGGATCGAGGTCGGTTCGGAAAGGGTACCCCAATGTTGTTCGTGCTCGCTTGATGCTCTTGCGCACCCTTGGGGGGGGGGATACCCTTAAATGTTCTGTGTGTGTGAGTGTGTGTGTGTGTTTGTGTGTGTTTGTGTGTGTGCGCGTGTGTGTGTGTCTCCACTATACTGGAAGGTGTAGCGCTGTGTGTGTGTGTGGTGTGTGTTGTGTGGTGTGTGTGTGTGTGTGTGTGTGTAGTGGTGTGTGTGTGTGTGTGTGTGTGTGTGTGGGTGTGTGTGTAGTGTTGATGCGTGTGTGTGCGTGTGTGCTGTGTGGTGTGTGTGTGTGTGTGTGTGTGGCTACCTGTTGCCAATCAGGAGTTGGTGTGTGTGTGTCTGTGTGTGTGTGTGTGTTGTGTGTGTGTGTGTGGTGTGTGGTGTGTGTGGTGTGTGTGTGTGTGTGTGTGTGTGTGTGTGTGTGTGGTGTGTGTGTGTGTGTGTGTGTGTGTGTGTGTGTGTGTGTGTGGTGTGTGTGTGGGTGGCTTGTGTGTGTGTGTGTCCCCTGTGTGTGTGTGTGTTGTGTGTGTGTGTGTGTGTGTGTTGTGTGTGTGGGTGTGTGTGAGGTGTGTGTGTGTGGTGTGTGTGTGTTGTGGTGCGTTTTTTAACTGGGGCTGTGAGTGTGTGTGTGTGTGTGTGTGCTGTGTGCTAGTGTGTGTGGTGTGTGGTGTGTTTGTGTGTGTGTGTGTGTGTGTGTGTGTGTGTGTGTGTGTGTGTGTGGTGTGTGTGTGTGTGTGTGTGTGTGTGTGTTGTGTGTGTGTGTGTGTGTGTGTGCGTGTGTGTGTGTGTGTGTGTGTGTGTGTGTGTGTGTGTGTGTGTGTGTGTGTGTGTGTGTGTGTGTGTGTGTGTGTGTGTGTGTGTGTGTGTGTGTGTGTGTGTGTGTGTGTGTGTGTGTGTGTGTGTGTGTGTGTGTGTGTGTGTGTGTGTGTGTGTGTGTGTGTGTGTGTGTGTGTGTGTGTGTGTGTGTGTGTGTGTGTTTTGGCCGACGGATGGTCTCATGTTCTTGAGGGGGTCCGCTCTTTTGGCCTAGGTCCGATTGCAGGTGTCAGGGTTGTTTTAACGTCAGCACGATGACCTGCAAAGGAGTCTCAAGTGAAACGCCCCAGACGGTCTACGGGGACGCCTGGCGGTGCGACAAGGGGGCTTGCTCACGAAGCAGAGGGATCGATAAGGACGAAGAGGAGAAGGAGGACCAGGATGGGGCTTGAGGAGGACACGTACGTGCCAGGCAAGAGTACGAGGAGGTCACGAGCAGGAGAAGGAGGAGGCCGGGTACCGAACCGAGGCGGGGGCGACCTTGCCTTCGGCGACACTGGCCTGCGGATCTACGTCACCCCGTTCTCGCGGGTGTCGGCGACCGCAGTGCCGAAGGGGCCCTTCGTGCTGCGCGTGCGCGGCTCCCAGCCCGCTCCCGCCACCTCTCAGGAGGGGAGAAAGCGCACAGACACAATTCATCGTCCACTCCCAGGAAGATATGGGAAAATATGGGAAGTGGGGGGGAAGACAAAAACCTAGAAAATATTGGAAAACATAGGGAATTCTATCATTTGTGTGTATTTGTTTGTGTGTCCCAGGGCGCCTTCAACCTCCTGTCGGCCGGGGGCAGCCACTGGGGGGGGACGACTGGGTGGGGGAGATCATGGCAGGGGCCATGATATCTTCCCAGATTGTATGGCGCCTCTTCCGATTTCCATGCGTCCCTGTCCCCCCCCCTGGGCCGCGCACGTGCCGCCGGCCATGAGTTGCGCCCCCCGCCCTCTTGGACGCTCCCGCGTGGACGCCCCCGAGTCAGGCATCCGCTGACCCGCGTCCTGTGCAGGACAGGGCACATGTCGATCCGGCGATCCGACGCGACCCGCTGCTTGCATGGCGTTGTGGTGCACCTTGGCGTTAGGTCGGGCGCATGTCCCCCTACAGGAGAATTTTGGGCGACAAATGAAGAATAGCCAAAATGCATCCAAACATGGTAAACAAACTATACTCGATTGTTGGTACTATGTTTGAACATTCCTCCTGTAGAACATTTCCTCTTGTTTAAACTACACAGATCGTCCCCAAACTTTTTTGGTACTATGTTTGAACATTCCTCCTGTAGAGGGACGTGCCCGGCTTCACCCTGGCGCGATCCGCTTCGGTTGCTGCCCCTCCGCCGACGGACACGTCTTCGGCCTTGACCGCTCCCCCCCCCCCCCCCCCGAGACCGAGGACGCCGCGGGCGGCGCGCCGGGGGGGCGGCGGGATGGGGGGGGAGGAGGAGGAGGAGGAGAGGAGGAGGAGGAGGAGGAGGAGGAGGAGGAGGAGGAGGAGGGGAGGAGGAGGGGAGGAGGAGGAGAGGAGGAGGAGGAGGTGAGGAGGAGGAGGAGGAGGAGGAGGAGAGGGGCGCGTCGCGCGTCGACGTCGGCGAGGTCGCCCCGAGCCCAGATTTTGTTGTTTGGTGCTCCCCCCCCGCTCTCGCTCTCGCGTCGGCGCCCAAGAAGAGTCCTTGCTTGGCATCGCTCGGACGTGTGCATCTTTCCTTCGGCGAGGACCATCGAGGAGCATCCTTGATGATTTGGCGAAAAACCACGCACGAAACCGAAAAACGCACAGGGAATGGACGTCCGAGCGATGGCGAGCTTGGGCCCAGGCCTCTTCGTGTGCTCCCCCCGCTCTCTCGCGCGCCTGCGGCCCCCCAAAAAAGGGGCTGGCTCGACGCCGTCGCGCACGCCCGCCGCCGCCCCCCCCTTCCCCCGACCCCCTGGGATCGCGGTCGCGGGCCTTTTTTTCTCACGGCAGGCGTGCTCGGCGATGGCCACCGCGGCAGAGGTCGAGAGGATGACGGGCGTGGTCTTTTAAGTCGGGCGTGCCCCTCCTCTTCAGGAGGAAAATCCAAAAATTGTGAGGAGATAGCCTCGGGACGAATTGTTTCTTATCTTTGACTGTTTGTGAGCATTGTTAGACTATGTGTTTAATGTGTCGGCCAACATCCGCCTGCAGGGGGACACGTTCCACCGAGCGCCAGTCTCTCCCGGGCCGCGGAGGGCCTCCGACGACCAGGCGAGACGACAAGCCGCCGCTTGGGTGAAGCCCCATTTGGGTGACAAGGGGCGTGGTGTGGATCCTACCCCGCGCCAGATTCTCGCAGGCGATGTTTCTATCTCTCTCTCTCTCTCTCTCTCTCTCAGCCACCGAGCTCTCCGCCCGAAAAGTCCTGGCCGCCCAGACAAGGGGGGGAGACCCTGGGATACGCCCCGAGGGGCCGCGATTCGGACGGAGAAGCTGCTCCATCGCGCACGTCCTCGCCTCCCCTCGGACCCGGCTGTCCGATCCGATGCTGATCGATCCTGCGCGCGCGCCAGATTCTCGCAGGCGACGCTTCCCACGCCACACCCCCCGAGCTCCGCCAGAACCGTCTGGCCGCTCGGAAACGGGGGGAGGCTCTGGGACACACCCCAAGGGGGGCTTCTCGGGCGCAAGCCCCTCTCGAGGATGGGCTCCCACCCCCCTGCATCCCAGGGCTGGGCCCCAGCTTGCTGGTCCACCTGACGACCTCGCGGAGCCTGGAACAGGGGGTCGACGTACAGGCGGCCAAGATTGGTGGGTCGACCCTGCCAAATCGAGGGTACCCTCCTGCCCCGTGTCTTGCGGCCCATGCCTCCTGCAGTCCTGTGGCTATGTGGCCCTCGGAAGGGTCTCGTGTCCTCTCGCGTGCCCCTGTCCGGTCAAGTCCGACTGCACCCCTGTCGAGATGCGCCGTGTTCGATTAGACGTGAGAGTGACCTTTCGCCGGAGTGACCTCTGGTGCGGGCACAGATGGGTCCCCAGACGGCTAAAAACGAGGCAGCAGCAGCTGCTTGCGCGCCCAGGTCTAGTCCCCCCGCGGCCCCCGAGAAGTCGCGCACCAAAGGCCACTCTTACCCAGGGTCACTCCTGCGTGTAGCCTGGCAAGATCGGCGAGCACCGACTTCTTCGTTAAACAGGAAGCGAAGATTCGCCATGGCGGGGAGATCTCCTGGCGGAGGAGGAGGAGAAGGTAGGAGAAGGTAGGAGAAGGAGGTAGGAGAAGGTAGGAGGAGGTAGGAGGAGGAGGAGGAGGAGGAGGAGGAGGAGGAGGAGGAGGAGGAGGAGATGGAGGAGGAGGAGGGTCACTCTCACCCAGGGCCACTCCTGCGTGCAGCCGCCATGTCGGGGCCGAGGCGCGCGGGAGCTCCAGACCGAGGGGGGGGGGGGCTGAGGGCTGGCCCCCCGTGGCCTCGAGCCGCTAGGCCCGAGGGCCGGCCGCCCTCGGCTCGAAGCCTGGCAGGACCGGCGAGCACCGACGTCTTTCCGTGGAACAGAAAACAGAGATTCGCCATGGCGGGGAGGTCTCCTGGCGGAGGAGGAGGAGGAGGAGGAGGAGGAGGAGGAGGAGGTAGGAGGAGGAGAAGGTAGGAGGAAGAAGGATATGGAGGAGGAGGAGGCGGAGGAGGAGGGAGGAGGAAGAGGGATAATGAGGAGGAGGAGGAGGGGAGGAGGAGGAGGAGGAGGAGGAGGTAGGAGGAGGAGAGGTAGGAGGAAGAGGAGAGATGGAGGAGGAGGAGATGGAGGAGGAGGAGGGAGGAGGAAAGGGAGGAGGAGGAGGAGGAAGAGGCGAGGAGGTGGAGGAGGAGGAGGAGGAGGAGTAGGAGGAGGAGGAGGAGGAGATGGAGGAAGAGGAGGAGGAGGGAGGGGAAGGAGGAGGGGAGGAGGAGGAGGAGGAGCAGGAGGTGGAGGAGGAGGAGCAGGAGGGAGAATGAGGAGGGGGAGAAGGAGGAGGAGGAGGGAGAAGGAGGAGGGGGAGGAGGAGGAGGTGCAGCACGAGGTGGAGGGGCCCTCGAGGGCGGAGGGCCTATCGGGGCAGGTCACTTCGGGGTCGCCGCGCGGGTCTTGGGACTTTCGGGTCGTGCTCTCCGCCGGCGCCTGGCGCGACTTGGGGCCTCCGAGGGCAGAAGGCCTCGTGATGGCCCCCGAGCGGTGGGGCGGGGCCACGCCGCGTGGTGGATCCGCGGGCAGTTCACTTCGGAGTCGCCGCACGGTCGTGCTCCGGGGGCGCTTGGAGCCGCGGGGGCCTCCGAGAGGTCCCAGGGCCGCGCGGTGACGGGCCGCGCGGTGAGGTCGTCGGGGATGCCGAGGTCACTACGCGGTCCGTGACCCCGCGGCTTTGGGGTCTCGAGGGGTCCCAGAGCATTGAGGACCGTCCCCAGGACGAGCTCTTCTCCTGGGCCGTGGGCCGGGCAATCATCCTGGGGCCCCTGGGTCTGCAGACGGCGAAGGAGAAACGGCGTCCTTCGTGCGGAGAGGTTGAGGGGGCCGAGGGCGGAGGCCGCGGGAGCCTGCGGCGCTCCTGCGACATCTTTCGCCCCTCGACTCTCCGACCTCCACCCTCCCAGCCTCGACCTTTCGGTCCTCGAGCCCCGACTGCCTCCACCCCATCGGCCCCTCGACGCCACCGCCCCCTCGATGCCTCGAGCCCCGCTCTCCCGAGCCTCGGCCCTCCGCTTCGCTCCTCGAGCCTCAGGCCCCTGCCGCTCCTCCAGCCTCGGCGCCCCTCTCTCTCTCGACCCGCCCTCGAATTTCTTTCTCGATCCTCCCGTGCGGCCGATCCCTCGATGGCCCTCGGTGGCCTTCGATGGCCGCGGCCGCCGCCCCGGCCGCGGCCAGGGGAGCCGCCCCCCCGAGGGGGAGCCCATCGCACAGTCGTCGTCGTCGTCGCCGTCGTCGTCGTCGCCGTCGTCGTCGTCGTCGTCGTCGTCGTCGCCGTCGTCGTCGTCGTCGCCGTCGTCGTCGTCGTCGTCGTCGTCGTCGTCGCCGTCGTCGTCGTCGTCCGCCGCCCCACCCCGCGGCCGCCCCCCTCGGCGGGCGTGCAAGCCCCGCGCCCGCAGCCGGCCGAGGTCCTGCGCGCACGTCCCCGGCGGGTGCCTGCCCAGGGCCCGCGTGTGGCGGGCTCGGCCGCCCCGCCCTCCTCGGGGGGGCGCCCTTTTCGGCGTCCCTCAAGGGCCAGGTCGGGGAGGAGGAGGAGGAGGAGGAGGAGGAGGAGGAGGAGGAGGAGGAGGAGGAGGAGGAGGAGGAGGAGGTAAGGTTAAGTCGGGCATGTCCCCCTACAGGGAGGAATATTCGAAAATAGCAAAAAGATAGTACGTGGACGATTTCTTTAACCATTTCTGAACATGTTCCAAGCGTATTTGTTACTATTCTTAAGTTTTCGTCCGAAACCCCCTGTAGGGGGGACACGACCGACTTCAACGTAAGACTCGGGCACGGGGGACTCGGGTTGGCCTGACGGGGCCATCATACAAGCGATGAGACCCAATCTGAAATTTGTCGCGAGCTCCCGCTGCAGACAGCCCACGAACACTGGACCGTCCAACTCCAGGACGCGCTCGTCAAAAAACATCGGCCAACCCGAGTTCTGGATTACTCGAGTCTTACGTTTCCCTGGCCAGAGCCTGAGGTGCCTCGATAATTATTCCAGATTTCGTAATACAAGGGAGGGGGTCTGGACCCCCCAAGACAAGCCATTTCAGACCCCCCCCCCGTGGGAGAACCCTCCAAAACATCGTCCCCAGACCCCCCCAGGCCCTCCAAGATAGCCTGGAAGAGACCCCCCCCGAAGTGAGACCCCCCCCCCCCTTTTATGACGACATCTGGAGTACGCCCCCTGCTGAATACACAGCACGTGCCGTGCTCAAGCCTTCCGTGCCAGTGCGTGGCGCGTGGGTTTTTTTGCAAATCTTCCGTGCCAGTGCGTGGCGCGTGGGTTTTTTTGCAATCCTGGGTTTTTTTGCAATCCTTTTTTTTTTTGCAATCCTTCGTTTTTTTGCAATCCTTCGAAAAAAGCGCATGTTGGCCCGCAGCTTGGGCGAACGCGCCGCGCCAGGCCCACGAGTTCCGTCCACGTGCGGAGCTCCGTGTCAGTACGGTAGGTTCGCGCCGTGTCGACCGGCGGCGACCCCGCCAGCGGCGTTCAACTCTGAACGCCGCGGGCGACCCAGAATCGCTCGATGTTGAACATCTGGACGTTGCGGAGACGGCCGATCGTTCAAGGTTGAACGATCCCCGCGGTGTCAGAAACCAACGCCGGGGTCGGCACGACACGAACCTGCCGTACTCCACGTGTGAAGGGCCGCGTACCGGGGCAGCTGGGGTACACCCGCGGCCCAGGGGGGCTCACGGAGCTGGCTCGTGAGCCACGGTCAGGAGTGGAAGAGAAAACACACGGACACCATGAATCGTCGATCCCCCAGAACATTTCGGAAAATGTGGGAAGTGGGGGGGAAGACGAAAACCCCCAAAAACATTGGGAAATATGAGGAATCTTTTTATTTGTGTGTATTTATTTGAGTGTCCTGGGGCCCCTCCACACGAGTCCCTCCCAGGTTGAGCTGGATCGAGGCGCCTCGGGAGGATCGACGCCTGCACGGGCGCACTGCCCCCTCGCCTCTTGCCTGCTCGGGTGGCATCGGTTGCTCCCACAGATCTCGGCACGCTCTGGGCCGCCGCGTAGCGGCACGGTGCCGATGCCCACGCCCTTCCCTCCTGCTCTCTTCCAGAGCATTTTCTTAGGCTGGAGGGCTCCAGGTGAAGTCCATATATGGGCTCTTGCACCTCGAAGATCCATCCGTCTTGTGATTCACTGTTTGCAGGTTCGAGCCTCGAAGATCCATCGAACAGGCTTTTCAGCTTTCACCCTTTGTTACCAGCCTCGAACCTATCCCTATCCCTAAGATTGACACGCCAAACGACGATGACAATCTTAGGGACACGCCCTCAAAAAGTAAGGGCATCCCTAAGATTGGCATCGTGATGAGGAGATACCCGGCACAGGGATAGGGATACGTTCCAGGCTGGTAACTTTGCCCTCCACCCAAAGAGAATGCTCGGCCTTCTGCTGGGGCTTCCCGGGTGGCCTTCGTCGCCACCGCCGGACTCGCCTCGAAGCTCTGGCCAGAGCGCACCCCAGGAGAGGTCTCTGTGCTGCCTGGTTTCCCCAAAAGGGGGGTCGGAGGTGGATACACCTCCTACCCTGACACGTCGATTAAGGAATTGGCAGTTTTCGGTTCGCGAGAGGGCGTCACGGCCGTCATTTTTGCGGGTCCAGGTCCGTCGTTTTCGGTCCCAGGTCGTTTTCACTAAGGGGAGGTTTACTAAAGGGAGGTTTGTCCACCGCCGAGGGGTCCGAGCGGATGGGGTCGGAGGGTCGCGCCGCCTCGCCAGTGCACCGGCGATGCGTCGAAGATGATTGTTCAGGGCGTCCCGTGAGCGGGGTAGATGGCTTGACGGGCTGCGGGGAAGAGTGGAGGGTAAGCTTAAGTCGGTCTACAGGAGGACACTTCAAACAAAGTAGAAATATCGTCTGAGGACGTTTTTTTCTAGTATTTTTGGATTCGTTTGGGATATGCTTTGACTTTCTTCATGTTTCGCCCAAAATCCGTCTGTAGGAGGACATGCCCGACGTAAGGGTAAGCAGCACAGGCAGCACCAGCAGCGGCGGGAGCACACGCGGCCGGGGCCGCAGCCATTTTTGCCCTGCCCACCAGAGCCCCCCAAAGCGCCACACTGAAATTTAAGTCGGGCATGTCCCTCCACAGGAGGAATACTCAAAAAATTAGCCTGACGAGGGACCCAACCATATACAGGTGTGAGTACCGCAATAGTGATTCACTTTTTCGGTGGCGATCCCTATGAGGCAACGAACCGTGCTAGGGGTGTGCCGACATGAGTGGCGTGGTACACAACGCGAACGAAAACGATTGATCTGAGTACGTAGGGAGACTGAGCGCGGGTGAATCTGCGCGCGTGCGTCTGACTGTGAATGAATCTGCGTGCGAACGAGTCTACGTGCATGAATGCGAATATGACAAAGCGTGGCGCAATTGTGTATGAATGTCAATAGTTTGACAATGTCTGCCTCTGAGTACTCGTGACGCTGGGCGTGGCCGCCGCAAGGAGCTTCCCCGGGACTCCCCGACGGCATCGCCCGCGCGCCGCGACGCCAATGTCGGCGCGCCCACCGGCGAGGATCGCGCCCGCTTCCTCCCCTTCCTTTACTCCCTCTTTGCCCGCGCACTCAAAAGTCCAAGGTTGCGGGCGCAGCGCAGCGCGGAGTCCCCGCGACGCGCGCAGGTCGCCCCGGAGGGGTCCCAGCGACGCGCGAGGGTCGTCCACTGCGCGGAGCAAAAAGAGCTAGCTGGCTGGCTGATAGCGGGCAAGGCTCTTGCCGCTGGGCAGAGAGACGACGGGACGCATGCGGGCACACCCACTGGGACCTTCGGTGGAGCTCCCTATGGGGCCACGAAACGTGTGAGGGGTGTGCCGAAATGGGTGTGCGGGGCGCATGCGGACGGCAGCCATGGGGCCTTCGGTGGAGCTCCCTGTGGGGCCACGAGGCGTGTGAGGGGTGTGCCGAAATGAGTGTGCGGGACGCATGCGGACGGCAGCACTGGGGCCTTCGGTGGAGCTCCCTGTGGGGCCACGAAACGTGTGAGGGGTGTGCCGAAATGGGTGTGCGGGACGCATGCGGACGGCAGCCATGGGGCCTTCGGTGGAGCTCCCTTTGGGGCCACGAAACGTGTGAGGGGTGTGCCGAAATGGTTGTGCGGGACGCATGCGGACGGCAGCACTGGGGCCTTCGGTGGAGCTCCCTGTGGGGCCACGAAACGTGTGAGGGGTGTGCCGAAATGGGTGTGCGGGACGCATGCGGACGGCAGCACTGGGGACTTCGGTGGAGCTCCTTGTGGGGCCACGAAACGTGTGAGGGGTGTGCCGAAATGGGTGTGCGGGACGCATGCGGACGGCAGCCATGGGGCCTTCGGTGGAGCTCCCTTTGGGGCCACGAAAGTGTGATGGCGTTGTACCGACATTGGGGTGAGCGGGGACGCATGCGGCCACACCACTGGGACCTTCGGTGGAGCCTTCTATGGGGCAACGAAAGTGTGAGGGGTGTGCCGAATTGGGCGTGCGGGAACGCATTGCGGGGCACACCCACTGGGACCTTCGGCGGAGCTCCTATGGGGCCACGAAACGTGTTGAGGGGTGTGCCGAAATGGGTGTGCGGGAACGCATTGCGGGCACACCACACTGGGACCGTCGTGGAAGCTCCCTATGGGGCAACGGAACGTGTGAGGGTGTGCCAAAAATGGGTGTGCGGGACGCATTTGCGGGCACACCATCCCTATGGGGTCACGGAAAGTGTGAGGGGTTGTGCGACGAAATGATTTTGATAGTGTCTTTTGTGCGCGGGACGCATGCGGGACACCCACTGGGACCTTCGGTGGAGCTCCATATGGGGCCATGAAACGTGTGAGGGGTGGGCCGAAATGGGTGTGCGGGACGCATGCGGGCACACCCACTGGGACCTTCGGTGGAGCTCCCTATGGGGCCACGAAACGTGTGAGGGGTGTGCCGAAATGGGTGATGACGATGATGATGAAGATGGGAGGAGGGAGGGGGCAGCGGGAAGGAAGGAACGCGGGGCGACGTCTCTTCAAAACGAGGACCCAACACCGCAGGATGGTTGGGAAATAGTCTGGGGACGATTTCTCTAAGATGTATGAAGGTTGTTTGATTGTTTTTTTTGGATGTTCCGCGCTTCTTCCACAACCCGCCTGCAGGAGGAGACGCCCGACCTAAACTTCAACGCGGCTCCGATGAGGAGCCCGATTTTCTCCTCGCCGACAGCGCCGACGCATCGCCGGCGGTGCCGCTGCACTGGCGATGCGGCGCGACCCGGGCACCTCGGCCCCGTGCGGGCGGCGTCCGCTCGAGGGGCGTCCAAGAGGGGGCGTCCACCCGCGCAGATCGAGCTGCGGCCATCGCCGGCCAGCTCCGCTGTTCGCTGCCCCGGGTGTCGCTGTGCATGCTACAGTGCCGGTTTTCATACATGCTGCGCGTGCGGATCATGTATTGAGCATGCAGGGATTCAGTATTGAAAACAGCG